CGAAATATATGTACATCCATGTTCTAATGTTCATAGATAAATAATACTATTTTAATACTTTCGAAAAAGTGTTCATGCATTTATATCTTTCCTTTTCTAAGACGAATCAAAGCCTGTATTTCTTATCCAACCGAGTATTGGTGTTAAATCCTATTGAGATAATAAACTCTTTTCAATGTAATCTTTACATTGTGATAAATACAGATATAATGACTATAACCTGCCTTTAAAATCCACAATTTCCTGAGACAAAGTATGAAAATTTACATGTTACTGAACGTATGCTATATTAATTCTTTATTAACTCTTTTGTTACAGTAAATACAATCATTACCCAATAAAGTCATCCCGCTATATATCACCGTAACAACAACATATCAGTATCATTTACATTTGGTCAAATATCAGCACAAAAACCAACACAATGAAAGTAATTTCAAAGAAACTAATGTTGTTAAGTTCAGATTTCACGGGCAAAATAAACAACAACAAAAGGTCTAACTTTCTTTTTACTTTAATTTGTCCTGTGCTACCTAACCAGTATAATATTTGTTTGTAATAAATTATAGTATATTATATATTATATATATATGTGTGTGTGTTTATATGCATGTTCTGTCATGCAGTCCTCCAGTAGCACAGCGGCATGTCTGCGGACTTACAACGCTAGAATCCGGGTTTCGATACCCGTGTTCAGCAGAGCACAGATAGCCCATTGTGTAGCTTCGTGCTTAATTACAAACAAACAAACAAATAATCTATCATGCAGAAAAGGTAGGATAAAACAAACCAGCAAAACACCAGAATTCGTGGCTCAGAACCATATTCTAAAAAGTTTTATCTGGATCAATTTCGGATTTTTTTAGTTTTATCCAAATGACCAAAAGAAATTTAGTTTTAATTATTATTATCATTATTTATTGAATGAATAACAACTTATTACTGAACTTTTTTGTTAATTTGCAAGGGATTATTAAATACAAGTTATCTTTTAGACGTTTGCTCGTTGTAGATTAAGAAAATGAAAAGTTCAGTAAAAGATTTGACAAGGTTTTGTTTCTTCATAATTATCCGGTAAACTCTAGTATGTTCTAAAAGCTTTTCTAGGCTAAATTCACTAAATCCAAAATATTATGATTGTTTTCTAATAAAATTACATACTAAGTATTCAGCCTTGCAATTTTTAACTGACAGAGCTCAAAGATGTATATCATTTATCGTTTCACATCTGGTCTCTGTTACTATGGCCCTGAGTAATCGCATTGTAATATATTACTTACGCACAACTCACGTTGTGTATTTTGTGGTCATAGTGCATGATCTCCCGGATGTTGAGTTTTGTCGAAAGTTTTCTTGCGAACAGTTAAATATATTATTTGCCAAGAAAGAATATATATATATATATATATATATA